GTTTCCGACAGCAGCCGCTGCGAATCAGGGGATGAAGGGATCGAGACTATTCGCCACGTACTCGCTTGTTCGAGCTCACATTGGTCACGATAGTGCATATTTATGTCGCAGTATTAGGCTTTGTAGTACAATATGCTTTCCTATAAGATTTAGAATAGATAAAGATCGCAGTTCTACTACAAAGACACAGCAAAGAATAGTACTCGGAAAGAGTACACAAAGGTGTGTTCGTCTTTAAACTATAAACTGCGTCTGTTTAACGCTCTCTCCTTTACCGCGGTGATAAATTGGGGGGAATCATGACCCCTGCGAATTACGACAGTCGTGTGCAGACGCAGACTACCGCGAGTTTCATAAACTGCACAAAAGTAAATTATTCTTCGTTCCATGCGGGCTGCTGGTTCAAGACGAAAGGAGGTCGCCAATGCACGAGATCTGAGGGGTATTGTAAAAGAACTTGTTGTTGGGCTAGTTGGTAGAACAAGAACACTTGAAAAAAAAAACTACAGTTTTAGCGCAAACACATGACACATTCACGCACACTCACGTGCGTTCACGCACATTCACGGGCGTTTTTGATGTGTGTGTGTGTGTGTGTGTGTGTGTGTGTGTGTGTGTGTGTGTGTGTGTGTGTGTGTGTGTGTGTGTGTGTGTGTGTGTGTGTGTGTGTGTGTGTGTGTGTGTGTGTGTGTGTGTGTGTGTGTGTGTGTGTGTGTGTGTGTGTGTGTGTGTGTGTGTGTGTGTGTGTGTGTGTGTGTGTGTGTCACTTGATAAAGGGCGCGGCGAAGAAAAAACTGTGCTAGCCCCCCCCCCCCCCCATCTTCTGGACCGCATTCCTTACCAGCCAATTACAGATTTGCATTTAATATAAACGCGTATTTTGTGGCTAAAATGAAGTTTTTCATATTTTGACCACAACAATAATGGAGTAACTTTGTGTGACCCGCCTCAAGAGCGCCCTGCGATGCACATAGCGCGCCGTGTGATCGTTGCCTAACACACCCCATTCCTTACCTCGGGAAAACGGGAACTGTATACGCCTCGGCACTCGATGATAAGAGGGAATTCTTCGGTCGAAAGAGTATCCGCAAGGTTATAGAATTGTGGTAAATCGATCGCATCGGTGTTCATATCATCGTGGTTTTTTCGCTCACAGTACACAGCGCCTCAACGACAGCAACAACCGCATAATCAAGCTTATTATAGTTCGGCTTCAGGTAATCTCGAGCCATCGTTTAACGCATTAATAGATTTCTGTGTTTACTCCTGTAAATTAACCCGATTCAAATGTTTTAATTAATTTCTTGCCCTGCAAAATACACGTGATTGGTTTCGAAACGAGCGGGAACATGTTTACCGTGTACCCTTCAGACACCACTACGCTGTCTTTGAACTGGAGTGAGCGAGTGAAAACAGTATGAATTTCCGGCAATATTGGGCTAGGTACGACATTTACTCTTTCATGTGATCTCACCCTGAAGTTGTTGCTTTTGCTGCGAATGCAGATTTCATGCACTCATGACAACATTGTGCACTGGTGAGGCATATATTTCCTGTGACACGTTTATGAACAACAAAAAAGCCGACTTTATAGCTACTTCAGTTCTTTAAAGATAATGATTACCCTTTATGGGTTCGTTTCGTCATTTTCCTGAGGACATTGCAGTAGTGGGGGTGAAACATTTAAACGTAACATGAAGTCAATACGAGAAAAGAACACACGCAGAGCAGAGTTTTTTTTTTCTTCTTGATTGTACACAAATGCAGGGTCCAGTGGTTGACTCACTAATCACTGCGCTATGTCAGTTTGACAATATATGTTTGCTTGTATTTAAATTTTCCTGTTACGATAGATATTAGACTCCCGAGAGTCCCATACACCTCATGAAGAAGCCATGTGTTCATTATGACATTTCATCTCCAATGCTGGGGAGCGAGAGAAGCAACCGTGTTCTATATAATCAGAAGACGGCAACAGGTCAGTGCCTATATTCAGCCCGATAGGTTTGGAGAAACCATCGCTAACGTTTATACAACGTGCGACTCGGCGCGCCACCCAGCCAAGGATATTCGTAATCGCGTTTCCAGCAATTACGAACTGGGCACCCGTGCGGGAACGTCTAAGTGTGTCGATCGGGTCGTGCCTGCAAGGCGGGCGAGATTCCTGCAGAATAAGACGTGCTTAGCGTTCTTGATGTCGCTACTATCGTTCATTCTAGAGGCACGTGTTTCTCTAAGACGCATGAAAACATCCATTGAACGACGTAGAATTCACGCTAACAGGATACGTTTCCACGCTTTACTAACAGCGCTGTTGTCGTCGCTTGTTCATCTTGCGATCCGTCACGTTTCAAGCTGTTTCCCCTTCCTTTTGCCCCTAGCACCACAGATGAATGTCTAAAACTGTACGTACTATGTATGTATGTATGTATGTATGTATGTATGTATGTATGTATGTATGTATGTATGTATGTATGTATGTATGTATGTATGTATGTATGTATGTATGTATGTATGTATGTATGTATGTATGTATGTATGTATGTATGTATGTATGTATGTATGTATGTATGTATGTATGTATGTATGTATGTATGTATGTATGTATGTATGTATGTATGTATGTATGTATGTATGTATGTATGTATGTATGTATGTATGTATGTATGTATGTACTCTGCATGTATGCATGGGGAGATTTTTTTTTTCGAAATGCGCTAAACCCCGAACCGAAACTAGCTCAAATAAGGCTGCATTCGCTCAGACATGCTCTCAGCTTCCCTCTAAAACAGAAAATAATAAAATACCAGTTATAAATAATAATATGTTATTAGTGTTTTAGAAGATAGCTGATAGTAAGTATGGGCCAACAGGGACTTGTTTGAGCTACTTTCCGTTATGGATTTTGCATTTTCTTAAAAAAAAGCTGCTTATATGTATGTATATGCAAACTGATCCTACTCAAAGAAACAAACGTGCCTCAACATACGATCTGAGCAATTTGAGATGCTTTTGAGCGAAACGCCCATTCATCTATGGTGCTTCTATTCGATTTACGTAATGTTCGATGGAGCAACGAACGGCAGGGCGCGGATGCATCGGGGATTTGGAGATCACAAAGAACGCCCTCACATCTAGCTTACTCCACAGATTAGTATGAGTGATATTCGAGCCTGTGAGTGATCTTTAAAGGGTGCAAGCGCGCATAAGGAAAATTTTAAACATTGCGCTCGAAACCAGGGATCATGAGGCAAGCTGTATAGGAGGTGAATCCATGTTAATTTTGACCATCCGGTGTCCTTTAACGTGCAACAGTGTATGTTTATTAACCAGCTTGTGTTTTACTCTTGCCTTTATTCATTTGTTTTTACTGTGGGAACAGCAGGCTCCTACTTTAACGCGTTCATATCTTAAGCGAACGCATAATAGGCCACTGTATTTCTTATAAGCTAGAATGTCTAAACACTCTCGAAAACTTTGGAATATTTATGATAATGAGTTTTTAAAAGAAACGTATGACGCAGTACTGTAGACCTCATCAGTATTTCGCCATGCACTTAGCACTGATACTTACGAAAAAGCTAATAATAGGTTACTTCATACGAAATAAACATTTTTAACTAAACCAAATGTATCATTTAGTATATTGTCATGGGGGTGGGATGTTGACAAAGGCAGCAGTCGGCGTGCTTCTTTGAGAATCAATTCAAGTGTTCGCGTTTGCGTGCTTAAGTCTATCCAATTGTTGTGAAATAATCTGGAATGCTCTCAGACATTCTAGCGCGCTGCAAGGCAGTATCGACACGTGCAATAGGTGAGTAACTTCAAACGTGAAAAATGAGTATGGCAAAATATTAGGCATCTATGAGAACAGAACAAAACAACACAAAAAACTAATGCCAACACCTCTCTCAATTTTTCCTCATCTATTTGCGAACCTTAAACGAAAATTGAAGAGCGGCACAAAATTCAGCTGATGGCACGCGCTCCCCTACCAAGCGTTCTTAGTGAACGCAAAGGCCGAAAAAAGACTCATTACGCCTACTAACACAATAATGAAATTGCACTCACTAAGGGACCATTTTCATACGGTAAATGAAATAGTACAGAGCATCTTCGAAAGTTTGAGAATGTTAGGAGGAAGTCTGTTCAAGAAAGAACACAAAAGCAAGAAAAGTCCAAACAAAAATGCAGTCGACGGTATATGTTCCCATGTTCAACGTCTCATGTCTCACGCGATCATTCCCCCTGTCATTCACAGATCCACAATGTCTATACTACGACACTTCATTTTACCCCTGTAGAAAATTCTAGCATTATATAAGAACGCAAGCACCAAAAAGGCAGTGGAAGGTTTCCTTTGCTCTAATGAGGACTGCCACGTCGTACGTATCAGTGCAAACACCTACGAAGAACTGGCCATAGTACAACTAGCGTGACCGAGGCGCAATACGCATGATGCATTCATCGCAGAAGTGACGTTTTAATAACTACAAGAACGCAGGTTCTCAAAACCTACGAACTTTCACGGGAAAAATTAGCGCTGCATATGGGCATAGATTGTACTCGCAGTTCAGCTTATCGTATAGGCGGGGTTGCACAGAAGGATATCTCTGTCTACATTGCATTCTCGTTGCCACAACGCACATCTTTAGTTTAGACATGTAAACAATGATATTGTGTGTACCTTGCATACTCAGTAACCACGGTTATAAATGTTATTTGAGGCGCTCGCAAACCATTTGACCAATTGCGCAATGATTGGCAACGTGGCCCGACTGCCTCGTATGAACAGGACAACTCGCACTGGCAATACACGGTAAACTGGACGTCGGGCGACGTTGAATGAACGCGATCTACGTCAAGTCCCAGGCTGTTCCGTAGTGATGGGTGACATCGGAGACCGTTCGGTGCCAGTGCGAGCGTCCCTTGGTCTCGGCATGTGAGGAAGACGCAAGGTGGATCGCCACTGCTGCTCAGAGAAAGCGAACCGGACCAACCTGTACTGGAGCGTAGACTTCCAAGTCGCCGCGAAGCTGTGTCGCCGTCGGTCCTCACCGCACGGTCTCTCTGAACGCGTCTGACGCAGAGGATGCCGAGATAGGCTCTGGCAAGCTCTCCGCGAGGAAGGAACCAGTCTGTCCGCAGCCTTGGGTGTCTTGCCATGGGCGATATCTGAACTGCGCATGCACTCGGCTCCCACTTGGCGGCTTTTTTGTTGCTTTCGTAGCTCGCCTGAGCGTGGCTGCATGCTTAGCGCGCGAGGAAGAAATGAGGGAGTGAGAAAGATAGAGAAAGAGAGAAAATAAATGAGCGAAATACGCGTCGGGAGAGCGGTGTGATTAAAGTGTGTGCCGGACTTGTAACAGAGCATGGACAGATGCTCGCAATTTATCACCCGCACATTTGAGGAATTTGATCTGGATGGCTCCACGGCCGATTGCTTCGGCATTGAGATTTAACGCTAAGAAATATCTCGCAAGTATCAAGTTTTCATCATTTGTATTACTTCAGAAAAAAGTTTTCTTTCTTTCTTTGTGTACAATTACCATAAAACGTCATATCAAAGGGTGGTCGTAAAATAACGTGCGCTGCGCCATCAGCAGCGGCGTGAAATCACACTCACGTGTTCATTGGTACCTGGGGTTGCGCAAAACATTGAGAAAGGAGAAAAGTGGTTTGAATAGCATCTCCGGAATAAATTTTGTCGCTTGAGAGCAAGCGACAGGGATGTAATTGGCTGAAATTGCTTCTCTCTCCTCAAAAATACGTCACTGTCGCCCACGCCTGCCTGCCTTTCTGAAACTCATTTATCGATCCGAATTCGCTCAAACAGGTATTTTGTAGTCCGAGTGCAACGTATAGTGTGTTGAAAACCTTTTCGCTCTGAGGATACTACGGGTTCTGTTCATTTGATTCATAGAAGTTTAAGCGAGTAATTATGCGGCCCGGATTATATTCTAAACTTTTTCTAAGGAAGACGTCACTGCTAGCTGGCTCTGTGGGCTGATAACCGGTATAATATATTCATTTGAGCGTTATCGCAGTCATTCGGTAGTCAAATTAACAGTGAGACAAGTCACCAGTTTCTCCCTGAGCGGTTGTGGAAAATTTTTCTCTTTACTGAAAGGCCCATTGCTCCTTCCACTACTACTCGGACGCTTTTATCGTCACCAGAGTACAAGACCTATCGGACCCTTGTCTAATGAGGATTCCGCCAGCTTCTGGCCCATCTTAACTGATGTCGGGTGGCTCAGCTGGAGTAAACATATTTACAGAGAAGCTCTAATCAGCCGCTTTTATGGGCCTTCTTGGAGATTGGAATTTTAGATGCCACCGCTCCGGGTCCCAATTTTTTTGTGATAAGGAATGGTAAAAACCTTTATGTCGCATTCGGACATTGTAGAGGCTTATGCGAAGATGCGCATAAGAGAAAATATGGAGCTTACTCGACGAACGCTTTCTTGAGCTCCTTCTTAGTGTTCCCTTGCAGCTAACTGTCTGGTTTACCTCAAAGATTGCTGTTAAGTGCGCTACAGGCTGGCACGAACCACACAACACGAAATAAAGAACGAGTAATGTGTTGTGCATCTGGACATGTTCACTCGTAGAAACAGATGCCAGCCATACCACACATTATATACCATCACAGCTGAGGTGATGGTGATGATCCAAACTTTATTACTCCCAAAAGAGGGGACCGGCCGAGAGGTCGGTTACGCTGCTTAGAGGAGGTCAGCGGGGATCCCTTGGGACACCGTGGCCTCCAATGCGCGTGAGATTACCCAGCGTTGCTGTGCCGAGTCAGAGCTGAGGTGACCTATAGTAACTGGCAAACGGAATTTACGACAAAGCATTTTCTGAATATGACTGCTGTTGTTGATGTTTTGTCCGTAATATCTGCGTGCTGACTGCTTTTGTGCATATTTCGCTCATTTAATGGTGGCGCTAATAGCATGCACAAATACGGCAGGCGGCTAGTGCACCGCTTGCGAGATCTCACATCGCATTACAGTACACCATGCACAAGGCTCCAAGATCATGGCTGTCACACATGTTATGAAACGCAGAGTAAATGTGTGGGGACTTTGAGGCATGGTACACCATTTTTTGTAAGACGCCGCTATATGCAAGCCTGACAAACTACTACACAGCTGGCAATACAAACAAGACAGAAGTTCAGAGGGAAATCGAGGCATACCGATGTGGTTGAGAAATTGTTGACCGGGAATGTCACTTGAGCCAACATTTGATCCGTGAACGTGGCGCTTGTGACGCCGGCACGTTTGCTTACCGAAACGTGAGCCACAGTGGCACACCCATTTCAATAATTTCCCATCATTATAAGTGGCAAAATAGCAGCCGTTTATTTTGTTTCTATAACAAGCGTGCATTGTTTTAGGGAATTGATATTTGAAAACCCTATGACAGTCAGGCTGCTATGGTTTTCGCACACTAACTCTACATCAAAGCGCGAATACTTTGCCACCGCTAAAGTAAATTAAAGTCAGTAATTAGGAAACAGTCATTAATTTACTATTTTTAATTATTCACTTGAGAACAGTTGTTTATGTCAGAAAGTTGTAAGCCATAACCATTTACCGTAATTTGAGATTTCGTCAGTGAATATCAAGGCCGATATCGGTATATTGACCACAACCGGAGCGCA